ACGGGTGGGGTAGGGGTTGGGGTAGGGGGCGGGGAGGGTGGAGTATATGTTGAGAAGTAGTTATATGGTGAGGATGAGAAAGATTGGGAAGGGGTGGTGGGGGGAGGCAGTGTATAGTAATATGTTGAGGAAGTGATGGTGGAGGTGGAAGATTGGAGGGTGTGTGGGACGGGGTGGGAGTAGGTAGGTGGCGGGGCAACGGGAGTGGGAGGGAGTAGACAGCAGAGCAAAAACATCAAGCATAAACATCTATACAATATCTATACTATATATATATATGATATTATATATATATATATATAAATATTATCTTATGTTACTATGCTATGAAATGCGTGTGCTACTTACTGTAAGTCCCAGCAAAGCCAGACGGTAGAGAAATGTCCCCAGCCTAGCTTCCTGATGACGTGATACCGATTGTTGAAGAAGTCGCCGATCTTTATGGGATGGTAGCCACCTGGTGGAGAAAAATGAACGAAGCATAAACATAACACATAGTATACGTAAGTATGTTACATAGTATATAGTATGTAGTCATAGTAAAAAATGACCATAGTACATAGTACATAGTAAGAAATAAACACAGTACATAATACATAGTTTACATGAACATAAACATAGTCTAGTAAAAGAATAAAATCAGTAACCGTACTAGTACAATATTAAAATCGTAAGAAATAAACATAGTACACAGTACATAGTAAAATATAAACATAGTACACAGTACATAGTTAAATAAACATAGTTCGCATTTTATTCGAACATTTTATTCGCACACGTAACTCCATACACAGCCTGTGTTTGTATTCACCTCTATAGAACGTGCACCTGTCTATAAAGGCCGCTGCTATTTCCCTTGAGAGACCCTTCTATACAGGATTAACTCTACATCCGTACATTCGTGCGACAATATTAACGACTCGGCTCAAATCTTACGGCAGTTCTTACCGTGTGCGCGAAAGCTTTGAGCAAGAATGCTATTAGGAATCACGAGACAACCTCGCAAATCCAATTTTAGCGAAGTTTTTCTCGAAGCTCGTGTTTTGCGAAGTTTAGCATTTTTTTTAAATCATGTTACGCTAGTAATTTCCGAGAATTTTGCATTTTTCCGGAATTTATTATTTATTATGGCATTTTATGAAAAGATGCAAATGTATAACCACTGCAGCATTAGATGATCAGTGAAAAATACATCTTGCCACGAAATTGCTTTATTGATTGTAAAATTAGATATAACAAATTTTTATTTACCCACAAGGGCATTAGCCGTAAATTGAACAAATAGCTTAGACACATTTCACAATTTGCTGAAGAATTCACTTTGAATAATAAAACGCAATTTTATCACAGAATTACGATAGAACTGGCTTTTTATTTTCACAATCACAATAGCTTTTTACCACCATCACTACCATCCTCAAAATCAACATTCATCATCCTCCTCCTCCTCATCATCATCATCATCATCATCATCATCGTTATCATCATCATCAACATCAACACCATCGTCATCGTCATTGTCACCATCAACACCATCGTCATCATCATCAACATCAACACCATTGTCATTGTCATTGTCACCATCAACAATATCATCATCATCATCATCATCATCATCATCATCATCAACAACACCATCAACATCATCATCATCATCATCATCATCATCATCATCATCATCACCATCCCCATCACCATCCTCACCCCCTGTGTGCACACCTATCCCACACCTGTACAGTCCTGTACACCATCCATGCAGTCAGCGCATAGCTTTACCTTTCTTCTTCTGCTTACTACTACGCTTGTCCGGTTTCGCATGGCTGCCACGCCCGCCGCCGCCCCTGCTAGCGGACGCGCCCATTGTTCGACCACGCTCGCCCGCTTTCTCAACCCACCACCAGAGTGCGCCGGTCAGCACACGACGGATGCGGTTGCCTAGCGACGCCGGGAGGCTGCGAGCGTAACCGTCGGTTACCACTGTACGTCGCGAGCGGTGCAGACGCGGTCGCCGCTTTTTTCGCGCTCCGGGAAAAAAAACCCCGGTCGAGAAACTGCGCAAGATCGTTTATCGCCGAGTTTTATCGTCGTCGGGCATCCCTCGTGCGCGATCGTCGTCTTCGCCGCATCTCCAAACAAGCGAACATCCGACGACGACGTCGCGCAACCAATCGCGGGCGGCGTCCGAGCCTGTCCGCGGAAACAAGCGCTGCGGCAACGGCTCGTTTAACTTAATCGAATTCGCTAACTTTATGGCTTCAGTGTTCT